AACACATGTGATGTGATGTTGGCGCTTTGGAAAATAAAAATCAGAAAGTAGTGTGCAAACCACAGTGATCTACCCAAAACTTGCCAGGAACTATTTTCCAAAGTGCCAACATCACATGTGTTTCAATTCAATGTAGTGTGCACACCACAGTGATCTAATATCTTGAAGAATTGGTCAATGCATGAAAATATATTGATGATTGTTAGTAGTACAATGAAAATTTTGGCCCATAGAAGTATGAAAACCATGATAATATTAATATCAGGTAATTCAAAAGATCTACATACAAGAGGATACTTTCTCCAATTTGGTACTTACATAATGCATTAGATGGGAATATAAAAATAATTTACAACGTAGGAGATAAAACACGGCCCTAGTAATTAATAATTGAGCAACCCAACCAGTATTTGTTAAGTGTCTCCTCACCTGCTCAGGGGAAATGCCAACAATTTCCAAAACATTTTCTTGAATCTCACGCTTATAAATTCTCAAGCTTTCTCCACCAATCTGATAGCACCACAACAATTAAGTATTGCACCGTTGAATTTCACATGTTAAGTATTGGCAAAAGATCAATATTGCAACTAACAGAGAATAGAGTACATATTTATACCCCTCAAAAAAACACTCATTAGTTTTACAGTGAGCAAGAAATTGGGTACCGATGATATGTATACAAATTGGGTACCGATGCTATTAAATAAAATATCCATTATATAATCATTGAAGTGGATTCCACACCAACTGATTGTGTGAATGCTATTTGTTAATTGCTCCTCGTGCAACAAACCAAGTGACAGAACATTCCTGAAAAATGTAAAGTCTTAAAAAAACAATTTTACCCTTCTCATTATATGAACAAAGGTATTATATTAAAATAGTCATTATATATACATAGAGATAGAAAACTAATTACCTCACATTAATAGTTTTCAATGCATGCATTTTATGGGATTTTGGTTTTCATGTTTTAATTATGTTAATTTATTAGTTCTTGAAATATGAAATCTATGCTTCAATTAAAATATTTGTTGACCAAGTAGCACTTTTTACTCTGTTAACTTTTAGAATTGGATTTGTAACTGACAAAGTGATGAAATAAGAATACACGAAAAGAAGAGGAAAAGACTACCTCTAAGAAGCCAGCTTGATCAAGGATTGCCCGCACATTTTCTGACATAAAATCAACTCCTAGAACTGTGATATATTGGCAACCAGCTTTTACCATCTTATTACATGTAACTTCAAGCCAAGGGTTTAATGTGTAAACGAGTTAGTACTCTTTTGTTGTAACCAAGTGTTAACTTGGAAAGCTGTAAGCCCGTAGGGCATTTTGTTTTGATGTTAACATGTAATACTTATGTAATGGAACTCTAATGAATAAAAGAATGTGGTTAGTTTATATGTAAATGCATGTCTTATCTGATGGGTTTAATGTTGTTATTTTGAGGGCGTTACACTTGAGGAAATAAGATGCACCATTTTATTTGACAAGGGAGCGTCATTGTCATTGAGAACTCAAAGAAATAATTATCCATATCATCTAAGCAAATACTAGTCAATCAAACATGTGAGCAAAAATTCCTCCATGAATAGAACATATATTCCATGTCTTATGAGCATGTCTATCCAAGTACTTGTATACACATATACTTATGTATGTAATTATATATCCGCATGTTAAAGAAATATTAAATCAATAACATATCCATTTCTGTGTTTTATACATATATGTCTGTCTAGGTGTAGGTGTAGGTGTTTGCATTTTATATGTACATGTTAAAGAAAGAAGATCACCTCAACATCAAATGATAATCATCATGTCTTGCTGGTAGCATGTCATTTGAGATCAGTTCTTGTCGGAAAGCATCTACAACCTTTAACTGTTTAGCATCCCAGACATCCTCTATTGAAACTGAAGTCTGATTCTCGTTTTTCCTTTTACTTTTCTTCTTAAGAGAATGCTTAATTTTATTAAATGCATTAACTGCTTTCTTCTTCAAACTCCCAATTCTTGTCCTCTTTTCATCCTCCGAGATTTCATAATCTGATTGGAGTTCTTTTCTTTCATCATGACTAGAGGATTCCTCAAAGCCTACAGAAAATAAATAGAAATTCATTAGCATCATAAGTCATAACTAAAGAGTATATATTGATTTTGCTCCATAAATAATACCACTAAGCGCCCGATGAAATGAAAGAAATTTTGGTAAAGCATCTAAAACCTTTTATAAGACTCAGAGCTAATTCGTCTATCACTACAACTAGATTTATCAATGTTTTTTCTCTTTCTAAAAACTCCTTCAAAACACTGATTGTAAACCTAAACGCAACACTAAAAATATAAAAAAATAAATTATTATTTTTAAATATTCTGGGAGTAATTACCAAAAAATGTAAAAGCGATGATGATCGAGACTTCAATCAATGCATTGCCAAAGCTCTAATGGGAAGTGGTGGAGCTCACCTTAGTAGATGGTGCTCGTTCACCTCGTGGTACAGATGGTGGAAGTGGTGGAGCTTCGAAATCTCAAAATCGAAATCGCTAATCGTTCTGAGATTGGATCTAAGATGAATCACCATTCGCTCTGAGATTGAATCATATGGGGCTGAAGAAGATTGATTCGATCGGTTGAGAGAAATTAGGGTTCGGAGAGGGTTGAGAGAGAGAGAGAGAGAGACCAGAGAGTGAGTGAGAGACTAAGGGAGTGTTTTGGGTCCTCAGACTCAAAATAAGACATTTGAAAAGAGAGAGAGAGCGCGTGGGAGAGTTAGAGATTTAAAGGCGTTTTTAAACGCCTTCTCTTATCAAAAACAATACCGTTTTATTTTTTTTTAAAAATGTGACGTTTGTCAAACGTTGTTAAATATTAACAAAGATGGCATTTAACAAACGCCGTTATATAAATGCCATTAAATCTCACTTTTCTTGTAGTGAGGTTTGCAGATTGTGGTTAAGATTGGGTTGTTGAGACAAACTATCATGAAATCAATAAACACAAACAGTGTCTATGAAACCAAAATCAAGTAAAATTAGAGTATCTTCACAAAAGAAACCGAGATACCACACAGCAAATACCATAAATTGTATCAGGAAGTGGAACCAAAACTATAAGGACAATAATATGAGTATAGATATGGAACTATGCGACTTACTCGTCTTTCCTTTCTTTAGAGGGAGGCTAGGGTTCTGTAGCAGAGCGTTTAAGAGAAGCAGTAGAAGTACTCTTTGGCTTCTATATAATAGGAGTGCTTTCAACTTTAGCTTTTTCTTATCCTCTTCACTTAGTTCAACAGGAGGTGGCTGAGAAGCAGCTTTGTCTGTTGTCTTCTCAGATGGAGCAACATGAGCAACACCTTCGCCAAACTTTGAAATGACAGTAATCTTAGTACTTGGTTCCACAGTATCCCCTTCCTTGGCTACATACTATCAATAATTTACGTACAAATTCAGAATCAGAACCATTCCAAAGGAAAGATAGGGAGAAGTGTAGTGAACTTGTATAAAAATAATGATAGCAAATCCAAAATAATGATATTTTACCTTTTGGATTACACCTGCTTCAGGACTTGCATTATCAATTGTCACCTGGTGGAAGATAGACAATCCAAATATTGACAGCATAAGTCATGTTAAGAACTTTAGAAGCTTATTACAACATTATCATGTTGTATCACAACAAGTACCTTATCTGTTTTAATTTGAAAAATTGGTTCATCAACTTCTACCATGTCACCAGAATCTGCTCCCAAATATCAGATACAAAACACTATCAAGCATTTACATTCATAGAGAATGGGCATTTAAATGGTAGAATTTTGGAAAGAGATATGAGTCTTATTACTTTTCAAGAATTTTTCCAGAGTTCTATCACTCATAGATTCACCCATAAAAGGGACAACAACTTCAACCAGATCACTTGTATTGCACATGTACACAAAACGAACAAATTCAAAAGTACTAGAAATTACCAACTACAAGAAGGAACACAAGGCAAGAATAAAAAGGTGTCATGTGCTAATAATTAATTTAGATGCTATCTTGGCATCTTGTTTGTGTCAGGATAACAATCTATTATTGAATAACATGATGTATCATCCTCAGCCAATGTTATATATTTGAAATCAATGAACCGTTAAGAGGTTTGTACAAATGAAAAATTAACTTTAACATGTTTGAGAAAGTAAAAAATAAGCTTATTTTTTCTAGGAAAAAAAAGAGGCCCAAAAATGAGCCCATATCTCCCAACAATACCACTAGTTGACCATAAAAAAAAGGTACACATATACAAATTACACATAGATGCGTGCAAATAAACACATCTGAACTAGGAAAAAGTCACCATCAGAGGTTTGTGAATATCACACCATTGTCAGAAGAAAACAGCCTGCTTTATATTTGCATGGTAACCTCTGGCTGAAGAATATTAGCCATAACTTCCCTGCACATGGGACATGTTTTAAAAACAGATGCAAAGAATCAAAAGACCAGAAAGAAAGACTGCGCCATACATAAAGGACTTCTTTCGTGTTTATCCTTGCAGTTTCCTATATCCTTTAGCTTTCTATATTCTTTTTTAATAAAATTCCGATGGATTAGCATCTTGGTTGCACAAACAGAATTCAATATAACTGATAACTCATAACTTATTAAGGATTGCAATAAGGTCGTCTAACCCTGGTTTAGATGGGCTTGAGGATGGCTTTATTGATTCAAACCCTAATAAGGTTTAAGAAACAGTTCAATCTGAAGAATTTCCAATAGTTTAATCCAACTTGAGTTGGGTTAGCTTTCTTCCATATGCATTTTATATTACATATTGTAGAGGGTCAAAAATTAAACTTCAAATTAAGTATGGGCCTAAGTGCTGAGGTTGCCCCTTTTAGGGGACCAAGAATGTCCAAAGAAGCATGGGCTAAAGCCCAAGGGAAGTGGGCCAACAAGTGGGCCGACGCAGATCCAACCTACCAAAGATCCGAACAGACTCCACGAAGAAAATGTATAAGTCAAGTTGCAGAGGTATTACTTGCTACGGTCAAAGTTGCTGAGGCACTTTGCCTTAGCGCCACTATTCCCAATATTGTCGGTTCCGTCGCCATCCGAAGTTGCTGAGGGAAGGAGAAAATCAAACCAACTAAGTTGCAGAGGCAACATTTGCAGCGATCAAGTTGCAGAGGCATTTTTGTCAGTGGCACCACGTCTAATATTGTCGATTTTGCCATTTGAACTTGCAACGGGAAATGGCCACCGCAGCAACCACAACCGCCGCAACTATGATAACCGCTACAACTAAGTTGCGAGGGGAGGCACTCTACCAAGGTGATAGCAGCCTTTGGGGAAAGTTTCACCTCCGCAAGTAGAGGCTGATAGCAGGCCTAGGATTGATAGCAGGTCCCATATCTCACTGGTTGGAGCTGATAGCAGGCTCAAAAATAAACCAGTGTACCGTGGCAACCCCACGAAGATGGGAGTAGGGAAGCCAAAGTGTAAGGGACTCCCTTTCCATTACCCAGGTCATGGACCTGCCTTAGTCGCACAAGTAGGACTTAATGAAGTCCCCTCGGGCTTGGTACTAAGGCACAACATGGCTGATAGTAGGCTTGGCTGTGGCCTTCGCCCTGGGAAGTTGGGCAGTCTATGGTTAGGTGGCTAAGGGTGGAGGTTTTATTGAGGAGAACACCAAACATGGTCGATGGCAGGCTATGAAGTCCTAAGAATGCATGTATTGGCCATACTGAGCTGAGAAGGTAAGTGCATTTGTTGAGTTTCATGCTGAGAAGGTGAGTTGCAGCGGTAAACACTCCCACCGCAAGTGCACTCGTTAAGGTGTCTGTAAGATTCATGCACTCGCTGAGGCAATTGTGCCAAATGGATAGTACACAGTACATGCAGAGGGACACGTGTCACTTCCAGCCTGGTAGTTCAAGGTAGAATATTCCATGTGATCCTCTAGGACATGTCTTCTCTCTATTTGGCCACTTGGTGTCCTCTTGGTACCAAGGAAAAGCCTATAAATAGAACCCATTTCCCAGCCCAAGAGAGGATGAATTTTGGGAAATTTGGGAGAGATACTGCCCATTTTGGTACTGCCATTATCTTTTTCCTGAGCTACTTGCTCCACCCTCACCTAGCTACTCACTCGCTAACCTCCTAGACAGTTGCTACTGTTCATCCTCCAATCATTCCACTATTGTTGGACCATTAGCATAGTTTTGCCTCTCTAATCACCTTCCTAACACCGAACCCCCTACACATGTACACATTTTCTAAACAATTTATTAGATCACTGAACACAAAAAAAAGTTGGGTTCATGGCAAGTTAATGTAGAATTAATCTAGTCAAAGGCAAGTTAGAGCTTGGACCACTAATCTTGATTCCCAAGGCTCTTGTAACCATAGGTGGCAAGCACTTGGTGCTTTGCAAAGGTGGGTAGGCTAACTCACAACTAACAAATGATTTTCTCTGATTGAAAAAAAAGGGCTCTTGTTACCATTCCTAGTTGGGATTTCAAATACACTGTTAACCATTAAGTTCATTTAACTGAAAGTAAAATGATATAAAATATCACTTACCTTGTTGGCCTTAAAATTGCTGAGCGACCTATTACAATAATTAAAAAAAATATATTTGGAGAAATTATTTAAAAGATAGAGCAGAAAATTAGATACATCAGCTTTTGCATGAAATTAAACAATAAAGGTGGTCAAAAGATTACCATGCAAAATGAGGTGACATAAGTTTCTAACATGTCCAAATGCTCCTAGATGATGTAAACGAGTTAGTGATTCAACCTTCAAAAAGATTCAAACATTTGATAGTATGCCCAACCAATGACAGGGCTAAAGATGAAAAAAATGGTTGAGAAATGATAATACATCATTGGATGAGCACATGGCAACATCCATATAATAATTTATGGTCAAAGAGGTAAATTTTTTTTTTGTTGAAATAGTTTTAAATCATTGCCAAACTAGTTTGAAAGAGAGTGTTTGTTGCATTAATCCTTGTATAGAAGCAATAACTTGAAAATTTTTAAATGCACAAAATTCAATCACAAAATTAGACACAGTTTCTCTAATTAGATTATGTCAATGTGAAATACCTACAAAAACTTTGAAGTAATGCATGAAAAGTTGAGAAAGAAAAAAGGGTTTGCATCAATCCATGTTTGCAAAATAATAATTAAACACAAGAAACAGTGGAAACCTATTTATGAAAAGTAGCAGAAAAACCCAAATGCACAAACTACAGGGCCAGACAGATCATAAGCAAGGTAAGGAATGAGGGAATCAAAGAAGACTCACTAGAGTGGAAATCAGGTGTCTACAATACACAAAACCCATTGTGAGGAAGAGAGACATTGCTGCTGTAAAGATTGACACAACATAGTTGTAGCGATCTCGGTTTCGATCTTTCTTTCATGATTTGCCACTTCGATTGGACCGGTCGGGGGTTGAGCTACCTGGTCAGCTTGCGGGGGTCCAGGGGGCATTGCCCAGGGACGGGTCCAAGGACAGCGCCTTGGCGGGGATCGAGCTGCCCAGTCAGTTCGCGGGGGTCTAGGGGGCAGCGCCTCTTGGCGGGTCCTAGGGCAGCACCTTGGCAGGGTTAAGAGGCAGCGCCCCCAAAATAAAAATGCAAAATGCATTCGAAGTTGCTTGTCTGGTCGAGAGGTCGTTTATGCGCTCGAGCAGAGAATGTTTAGTTTTAGAAGTTTGACCTGTCTGCAAAAGTACTGGGTTAGTGTATTTGACGCTCGAGCGGGGCATTCCACCCGCTCGAGTGGACCATGTTATATCAGTTCGTGAATCTGATATTTCATATCAGTTTTTCAGTTCTCTCTCTCTCTCTAAAACTCTCCAGAATTCCAAATCGAGAGCTTCTCTCCCTAGAAGTCATCTTCTCTCTTTGATTTCTCCAAATCCATTGGGATTTAGACCTAAGTTCATCACCAAAGTTGGTTATCATCTCGAGAGCTTCGTTGTGTACGGCGAAGATTGAGTTTTGACACCGTTGATTTTGGGAGTTTCATCTCATTTCTTCTTCAAAACTGGAGGTAAGGATTTTCTTAGAGTTATATATTTATTTTTGCAAGATCTAGATGATTTTCGAAATCATCCTTTGATTAGCTTTGAGAAATTGATTGTTGATTTCAAGAAGATGAGTAATTTTGAAAGAGGGTTTAATTTCTTTTCCTTTTAAAATAGAAATTGAGGGTTTTGAACCATATTGATTGAAAAAAGATGATTTTGGGGAGATTCTTCTAAATATCTTGGAGATGAATGGTTTTGGTGAGAAAACCTAGAAATTGAGTCTTTTCTTTGAAAAATGTTGAAAATCCTTGGAAGATGTTGTCATATTTATTTTGTATACCAAAATGAATGGATATTTTGAAAATTGTTTATTTATATATAAATGACGAATTTTGTGAAAAACATGAGAAATGTTGTTTATTTTGGAAATTGTTGTCAAAATGCCGATTTAGTCTTGAATTGACTAAATTGTTAAGATTGCTCGAAATGTGGGAATTACGTTATTCTCGTGAATGAATTGGATATAAAAGTATATATATATATTCATCTTGTGGAATTGTGTTGAAAAGATGATTGAGAATTTTGATCACAATGGTATATTGCATGGAACAATTGAATATGGAAGTAATGTTGCATTGCATTATTAAGCATATATTGGCATTTCAATTCATTGGACTATGTTAAGCTTTGGAAATTTGCATTGAGAAAAGAATGTTAGGAAATGGGTTTTCATGAAATGGTTTTGGGATAAATACGATGGTAAGTCTTGATAGGTGATGTAGATGAAATTGTTTAAGTTGGGTTGAGTATCCTTGGTGAAAGACCAGAAAGTCGCACGGATAGGTGCCGAGCCTTCCGGTTAATACCGGTAAAAATGACAATTGGTAGTACTCGTATAGTCTACTTGCAGACGCCGACCTAGGGATTACCAGAGTTGTATTTATCGCCCCCTTTAATTAAATTGATAAATTTTGAACAGTTGAAGTTACATAACATCATTGAGTATGATGGTTTTCAAAAGATGAAAATATGTTTTATTTCCAAAAAGGCATGGCATGGCATGTGCATTCATCTCTTGAGACTTGTATAAAATGTATATACTCTGTTAAAGATTCCCTACTGGGTTTTATGCTCACCCCACCGGATTTTTGTGCAGGAAAAGACGTGGTGAATCCGCCTAATTGAGGGCGTGGAAATGTGTGTGTTGAGAGTACTAAAGTTCTCATTTGCTGTGATCCTATTTGTAAGCCAAGGGCTATGTATGTGTGGGTTTGAATAACCATTTTGTGTATCGGGCTTAAGCCTTGGAAGATTGTAAACCCTTGGGAGTGCTTATTTGGTTATTTACTTGTTGTTGAATCAATGTAATATCGCATGAGGAACTATTATTATTATGTAATGCAAGTATGGGAAGTTATATTTGGTTTTCCTTTAAGAGAGCCATGATTGTTACATTATCATTTGGGCTAGAAATTTGGGGCGTTATAATAGTTGTGATGGCGGTTCGATAACTTTGTACACAAACACAATAGAGATTAGCCTCAATAAACTAACCCTAGAATTGCATACGAAGCACAAACGCAAAGATCACCACGAACGAGTCAGAAATAGTCGGTTTGAGGATGTTAATATGCACATAGGGACTAAAACTTACATATCTGAATGAAAGTAATCAATCGATCAAATCCAGCCAGAGAGAGAGTGTTCGATCGCGATCAATAGACTAAAAATAAATCAACCGATCGAGAGCCTAAACAAAATCAAACAAATTTGAGTTTGTATATAAACAAAATCAAAAAATCAAAGAACGAGACACACAAAATTAATCTTCAAATTGGACTGATCGAGAGCTTTGAGCGAAGATGGAGAGAACCGGATAAAGAATACAATCGTGAATCAGAGAAAGAGGAGTGATGAAGAGACAGAAAACCCTAGATCTATCTTAAGACTGAGAGAAATGAAAAAATGAAAAACGTGTGGGCCTTAAAAGGGGAAATATGTTAGTACACCAAGCACGCGTGTTTTTTAAATGAGTTGCTTACAAACTATTTTGAAAACCTTTGAAACAACGTTTTTTGAAAAAATGCCATAATAAAAACGTTGTTATAGGCCAATTTTCTTATAGTGTAAGTGAGTTTTATACATTTATTAATGTGGACTCCATTATTTTGTATTTAAGATTGAAAAAACAAAGTAAAAAACAAGGCTGTGTTTGGATATGTTTTCAAACTATAATTCCACCCTCACATTCTAATGCCATGTTTGGATACATCTTTCAAATTATATTTCCACAAAAAAAAGAAAACTCTGTGTCAAGTTGACTAGCCGGTCAACCGGAACATGGCAAATTTTGTTTTATTTTTTATTTTTTTGCAATTGGCACTTTTTTTTAATATATTTTTAATAAAATAATATTTTTGGCATTTTTTTAAAATTTTTTTATGAGTTTTTAATAGATTTTTGTGTTGTGTGTTTGGTTATGAGTTGTAAGTTTTTGTATCAGATATCATGTCACGTCAAAAATTCCCTACTTAATTCAAAACTTTTTTCAAAACTCATTCACCAAACAAATTTTTCATACTCAAATCATAATTCCAAAACTCACAAACTCAAAATACAACTCTATTCTCAAATCATATTTAGAAAACTCTACCTAAGATTCTGTATAATATTTCTCAATGTTAAATTATATGTTTTTTTATTGCATGGCTTGTTTCGGAAAATGAATTGTGTGAGTCAATAAAGTAATATCAATTGATTGGGTCAAGTAGTACTATTCTAAGTATTATTTTAACCAATTGGGTTGTTGAACACCATAAGAATTTTCACTTTTGGCGACTAAATTTTTAGTCGCCAAAAGTTAGTTTTTAGTCGCCGAATGGTTTTAGCGACTAAATTATTTAGTCGCAAAAGTAGTTGCCAAAAAATTGTCGGTAAAGGTAATTAATGACTGAAATTATTTTAGTCGCCAAATGTATGCAATTCCTTAAATTAAGTTAAACCCTTTTTGGCAACCAAACTTTTAGTCGCCTAAAGTCCCACATTTTTAGCTACTAAAATTTTAGTCAGCAAAGAGTTCTTCTTTTGGCTACTAAAAATTTAGTCGCCGAAAGTCCCACATCTTTGGCTACTAAATTTTTTGTCGGCAAAGAGTTCCTCTTTTAGCTACTAAATATTTGGTCGCCTAAAGTTCTACATTTTTGGCTACTAAAATTTTAGTCGGCAAAAATGTTTTTATTCTTTAGTTTTTTACTTTTAGCTACGAAATATTTTAGTCGCCAAATGTTTGATTTTCTTTTGGCTACTAAACTTTTAGTCACCAAATGTCTTTTTTTTTTTTGGCTACTAAACTTTTAGTCACCAAATGTCTATTTTTTTTTTTTTGCTACAAAACTTTTTGTTGCCAAATGTCTTTTCCCAATTTCTTTTTAGCTACTAATTGTTTATTCAATGCAACCTGTAATACGTATATAAACAAAATGATACATACTATCAATCATTCAACAATCTGCATCCATATACCAAAAATAAAAAACTTTAAATGTCAAAGTCCATACAAATCAACTATTGTCCAAACTAAAATAATAATTCCATACAAAATATATCATACAAAAATCAAAGCCCTCCATATACAAAAAATACATTTATTACCAAGCGAAATTACCATTTGGCATGGTACAAATTACTATCGTAATCAGTACCACGACAAAAGGTGATATATGTACCACGACAAAAGTTTTCTATAGACCATGACAAAATGTCCTATATGTATGCCAACAAATGGTATATATGTACCACGACAGAAGGTGATCTATGTACCACGACAGTCATTATCTGTTGATTGCCAAAAGTTTTCTGTATCAGTAATAATGAATTACACAAAAGCTGAGGACGACAAAAGTAATATATTAGTTCTATACAAAAGTGAAAATTCTTCTCCATACACCAATATGGATTATCCATAAGTCCATGCAACATAGCCATCAACAAAGAAAAACAAAAAACGAAACATTAGAATTGGTTACAAAATATCAATTCAGTTAGCTATATGGAACATGTTCTAACATGCATTTAAGGTAGAACAATCAAGAAATATCTTCTTGGAAATTAAAGAAAGTATATATATATATATGTATCATGCAATATTTATTCCAACCAACTGCACAAACAATATAATATGTAATTTCTTCGTCCTATAAATATATCAAGGCAATTATTAGAATATGTAGATGTTATTTTCATAACATTGTCGCTTTTTAGCTTAATTATTTAGGACGAAGTGTTGCGAGTTTTTCGTCTAAGTGTAAGGCGTATTCGGGGGCTGTTATGAATTTTCGCCTTGGAAAGCTCTTTTTCGAGTAAGCTTAGGGCGTATTCAGCTCTAACATCTAACTTACGGGTCTGAATTACGTTTTGTCAGTTCTCACAAGTCTTATTTGTCATGGTAAAGCTATCTGTGTGAGCCACACGGTCGTTAGGGGGCTGTTTTGAATTTTTGCCCTCGAAACGCCCTTTTTTCGACTAAGTTTAGGGCGTATTTGGCTCTAACTCCCAACCTACGGGTCCGGATTACATTTCGTCAGTTGTCACAAGTCCTATTTTTCAAGGGGGAACTATCCGTTCGAGTCACACGGTGGTTCGAGGACTGTTTAGAATTTTCGCCCCCTGAAACGCCCTTTTTCGACTAAGTTTAGGGTGTATTCGGTTCTAACTGCCAACCTATGGTTCCAAATTTCATTTCGTCAGTTCTCACAAGTCCTATTTGTCATGGCAAAGATATCCGTGTGAGCCACACGATCATTCGCGGGCTGTTTGAATTTTCGCCCCTGAAACGCCCTTTTTGGACTAAGTTTAGGGCGTATTTTGCTCTAACTTCCAACCTACGGGTCTGAATTACATTTCGTCAGTTGTCATAAGTCCTATTTGTCATGGGGGGAACTGTCTGTGTGAGTCACATGGTGGTTTGGGGGCTGTTTAGAATTTTTGCCCCCGAAACGGCCTTTTTTCACTAAGTTTAGGGCGTATTCGGCTATAACTGCCAGCCTACGGTTCTGAATTACATTCTGTTAGTTCTCACAAGTCCTATTTGTCATGGAGAAGCTATCCATGTGAGCCACACAGTTGTTCGGGGGCTGTTTTGAATTTTCGCCCCCGAAACACCCTTTTTCGACTAAGTTTAGGGTGTATTCGGCTCTAACTCCCAACCTACGGGTCTGGATTACATTCTGTTAGTTGTCACAAGTCCTATTTGTCATGGGGGAATTGTCTGTGTGAGCCACACGGTGGTTCGGGGGCTGTTTTGAATTTTCGCCCTCGAAATGCCCTTTTTCTACTAAGTTTGGGCATATTCGGCTCTAACTCCCAACCTACGGGTCCGAATTACGTTCCGTCAGTTCTCACAAGTCCTATTTGTCATGGGGAAGAAATCTTTGAGAGTCACACAGTCGTTTGGAGGCTGTTTTCAATTTTTGCCCCCCAAAAAGCTCTTTTTTGAGTAAGTTTAAAGCGTATTCAGCTCTAACTCTCTACCTACGGGTCTGAATTACGTTCCGTCAGTTGTTACAAGTCTTATTTGTCATGGAAAAGCTATCCATGAGAGTCACATGGTGGATCGGGGGATGCTTTGAATTTTCGCCCTCGAAATGCCCTTTTTCGACTAAGTTTAGGGCGTATTCATCTCTAACTCCCAACCTACGTGTCCGAATTGCGTTCCGTCAGTTGTCACAACTCCTATTTTTCATGGTGAAACTGTCCGTGTGAGTCACACGGTTGTTAGGGGGCTGTTATGAATTTCCCCCCCCAGAAAGCTATTTTTTGAGTAAGTTTAAGGCGTATTCCGCTCTAACTCTCTATTTACGAGACCGAATTACGTTCCGTCAATTGTCACAAGTCTTATTTATCATGGGGAAGCTGTCTGTGAGAGTCACATGGTCGTTCGGGGGCTGTTTAGAATTTTCAATCCCGAAACGCCCTTTTTTGACTAAGTTTAGGACGTATTCGGCTCTAACTCTCTACCTATAAGTCTGAATTACGTTCCATCAGTTGTCACAAGTCCTATTTGTCATGGGGAAGCTGTCCGTGACAATCACACAGTCGTTTGGGGGCTGTTATACTTTACACAATAGGCGAGTACACTATGCTGGCTCTTGCAAGTGCACTTTAAGTTGCGTATATACACTGCCTGTTCAGTAAGTCAGTTGCATACAACAAGGTTTGGGTGGTGTTTTGCCTGTTCACCCTCCAAATGCCCATTTTTTGCTAAGTTGAAGGCATTTTCAGTCTAACTTCTAACCTAGGTGTGCTAATTGCATGCCATCTGTTGCCACAGGTCCTATTTATCATGAGGATGCTGCCCGTAACATCCATGTAGTGGTTCGGGGGCTATTTTGCATTTACACCCCCTGTACGTCTTTTTTCGACTAAGTTTAAGGCGTTTTCAGCTATAACTCCTAGCCTAGGTATGCAAATTACATGTTGTCTGTGTCACAGGTCCTATTTGGCACGAGGAAGCTGCCTGTGACATCCATATAGTGGTTCGGGGCTGTTTTGCATTTTCGCCCCCTGAACATCGTTTTTCAACTAAGTTTATGGCATTTTTTACTCCAACTCCCAACCTACATGTGCTAATTACAACCCGTTTGTTCCCACAGGTCCTATGTGTCATGTGGAAGCTACTCATGATATCCATAGAGCAGTTCAAGGGCTGTTTTACATTTTTGCCTCTTGAACGCCCTTTTTCAACTAAGTTGGATTATTTAAATAGGATTGTTTTTAATTTTTTTTTTTCAATTAACTTAAATGAATGTATGTAGTTCCTAGTCTTAAAACAGGTGGGAAGGAAATTGAATTGCATTAGTAATCTTGTTAAGCTTCATAAAATTTATACAATCTTGTTATGCTAATTTACTCTATGTGAAACCCAATCATTTATGTACTCTGTTCAACCATTTAATTTACTGTAATCAATTCAGGGAAAGTGAATTTTTCATAAAAAACATGTGCTTACCTTTTCCACATCATAATGAAGTCCTTCAGAGTATCCAAACACCAGGTGTTCTGCTGCTAAGTCTTCTAATATTACGAAAACATCCTCAACTAGAGAAATGAAAAATCATTCAGTTACATATTTCATTGTTGAGTTAGAACACCAACTGAAGAAACTGCTGGCCAACTTTTAGGGACTATAGATTAAGACTCTAACAAAAACAATAATAACAATAACAAAATAAATCAGTTCGATAAACATATCTTGTAGTTCGGAAGAATGCTGATGGACCAAGGAGGCAGGTTGCAGTGCATATTCCCAAAAGCCAACTTTGCAAAGGAATTAGAATTGTAGTTTGCAAGGAACGCGGGCACAATCTCCAGACTTTGAATTGCAAACATGAGCCTACATGGAACGATTATAGGAAGAAATAACATTTATTTTCAACACAAGTATAAGATAAGATAAATGGTTCTTGGAGAATGATTGTAACTCTAACCTCCTGATAGTTCCCAAGAGGGATCACAGTGGGATCTCCTGATACTAAAGCCGGCTCACACAACTTTATCGCTCTATGCAGATCTTTCAAATGACCCCATTTGGGTTGCCTTAATAGTCCTAGACCAAAAGAGGAAATAACCCTTAAGTTTACTGAAGAACATATAATCTTTAAAATTTTATGTTTTCTTGAGCCATCTACATCTCCCTATCAGGAAAAGGAATGACATTTTCTCACGAGTCATGACAAAAATGATTGTAGAGAAGCTATTAACATGACTCTTGCAATCATTTTATTGTCGAACTTTCATTTTCATGTTGAGTCCCCCATCAACTGATAATATTCAGCTTCTCTAATCAATTTGATCACCATCATAACCACTAACAACATCACAATTATGAAGGGATATAGCTATTACTTAAAAAAATAAAAAAATAAAAAAAATATATAATAAAATGTCAGCAGGAGAAATTTTACTCTATGATAAACCCAATTCAATCAATCACATGTCTGACATCAATTTGACTCTATAATTATATTGGGTGGTACATTTATCTATAGGAAGATACATAAACTAGGAATATGAAAGGCTCTTCTAGGGGTGTGAGAGTCATGTACCAAGTATTTTAAGGACATTGTAGCGTGCTACAAGTAAAGTAACAAGAAAGGTTAATAATATAGAAATATATTCTGATTGAATTCTAAGTTCATATTGAACGAACTCCTAATTCACAAAGTTGAGAACAAAGGTGAGTTAATGTTACTTTTCTAATCGGCAAAATTCTTTTGAAAGGGATTATAGGAGTGTGAGATTAATCCATCTACAAACTTCTATGTTAATCTTATATAAAGGACACTCTACTGTACTACAAGTAAAATTAAGAAAAGAAATGTTAATAACATAGAAATATATTCTAATTGAATTTATTTATTTTAGTTCTGCCTTGTTAGTTATTCCATAATTGTAGTTCTTTTTTTGTCCCCATAATTGTGTTTCTTGCTTTAAATTAAGGGGAATGCTAATTAATTTTGTAGAATATCATTAATAGCCACCCTATGTTAGTTTTTTCATTTGAAGTAAATTTGTGTAAAAAAATTAATCATTTGTCAGTAAAAATAACTTGTATTTCATTAACAGATGTAGGCTACTATCTTTTTTTGTCCCCATAATTGTATTTCTTGTTTTAAATTAAGGGGAATGCTAATTAATTTTGTAGAATATCATTAATAGCCACCCTATGTTAGTTTTTTCATTTGAAGTAAATTTGTGTAAAAAAATTAATCATTTGTCAGTAAAAATAACTTGTATTTCATTAACAGATGTAGGCTACTATGTTTCGGCCAATTCTTTCGCATAGGATTGATGTAGTCTTTATACCAGCAACTGCAGAAACACTTTATTCAACCAAAAAATATTTTCTCTATATCTACCTAGTGTCATTCAAGGAGGGAAAAAAACAGAGCCTGAGCATCAACAACTAAAATTTCCTCTCATCAACTATATAACTCTAAAGCATATATGATGAGCCTATCTTAGTTAAAAGTTGAAGACTTAACAAAGAATAATAAGGAGAAGAGCAACTATTGCATGTTAACCTCACAGATGGCAGACTCATTCCCAGCTTTCTCTAGGGCTTTAAACCCTGGTGCCCCCGAGTTTAATATTATTTGTTTCATTCCTTCTCTAAGTAAACTACAAGAAAAACTACAAAATTGAACTTAAAATTCAGAAATGTTAGTTTTAGACTTGAAGTTTAACTGATGTGCAAAGTCATATCTACCAATCATACCCAATATTAATTGCAGTCTCCATCTTATCTCCTGTCAAAACCCATATTTTTATTCCAGCTTGTGCAAGCTTGTCAATGCATTCAGGAACCTGTGCCAAAGCACCCAAAACAAATCACTCATAATGATGATGATAATAATAAATAATATGAAATTAAACATGAATCAATAAAACCAATACCCAATATCATAAAAAAATTGTGGATGTTTATATCAAATACTCAAGACGAATTAGTGAGGCAACATGAAATTGGTTGTGTTGGAATTCAAAATAGGTTCTCAACAAATTGAGATGGTGGCTTTAGTGGGAAATCAATAGCCCAAAAAAAAAATTGAAAAAATTGGCAAAGAACATGAATGCTATATATAAGAAAGCTTCACTACCTTGTCCAATGCTGCTGTGATGAAGTCAACAAGTTCTGGAACAATAAGAACTTGAGCTCCCCTTTCTCCCTGGGCATAGCAGATGAATATTAAAACCTAACTAGCAATCATTAAGCATCAACCTAAACATAATTCATAAGAGTACATTAAGGATGATAATAATTTCTTGATTATAAAAATCAAAAGATGCTAGGTAATAAAAAAGGAATCTCAAAAACTGAGGAAAATTATAATTAAAACATCCTCTACCAACCTAGTTTCTAGCAAGGATTATTGTTGTCCATTACAGGTATCAGTGACCAATTTAAATGAAATAAAAAATCTTTACAAGTGTTATTTTGTTCTGATGACAGTGATGATGATGATGATGAAGAATGCATATCTCAAATTAATTGGAGATGATACCTGTAAGATGATATCCCCCAACTTCTCCCTAGCAATCTCTGCACCAAGAATTGTGCCAAGGAAGTCACCATGAGAACAAGGGTGAAACCCAAAGTTTACTGTGACATTGGCAAGAGTAACCATTTAACAAAGAAGGTTTTTTATTTAAAAAAAATAAATAAAAATACACTCAAAGAATAATGCACATTCAATGACTTGCCTTAATGCCACAACAATATCTAGATTGGTTGTAAATGCTTGTGGATGTCCAATTGAAAGTCGACAACGCTCAGCCTGGAAGACTTGAAAGATATTTAACGTATAAGTGTGGAAAATATTTACTGAAACAAAATCCAACAGAAATTTTTGATTCAATTTAACCTGTGCGTATCCTCCCTAAGCCACTGCTTTGATGTTAGCTAACTTTCCCAATACTATAATAGATTCGTTCAGGATGGGTGGTGTGAGAAAATCAGTATGAAGGACTTCTCTCCTAGATGATGCCTTTCTTGCTGAAGAAGCAGAGGTAGATAAATAAATCAGAACTATCGTTCATGCATATCAAATAGCCAGAAATTATTCAACCTTTCATACCTTGCCACTGATAACACTTTTATTTGATAATTTCTATTTTTGAATACATGAGATTACATACAATGGATTAGGGCTTTGAAACTAATGAGAGAGAAAGGAAAAATAGGGGGAAAGGTATCAAACCCTAAAATCAAACCCATTTACAACATTAAACCCATAAAATTCTAGTAATGAAACCACTTCAAACAAACCCATTTCAGAAGTGAAGACAAAATTAAACTGAATGGGTAGAATAAACGACCCTAGAGCAAGAGTTCACGTTAGGGAAATAGAAGAAGGGGTAGAGAGAGAGCGAGATAGAGAGAGTCAGAGCGAGACAAAGAGCGAGAGAGCAACAGAGCAAAAGGGAATGCGAGAGCGAACCTGCTAGCGGCGGTGACGGTGCTAATTTGCGGCGTATGGGGACCGACGGTGCTGAGGATCGTGGTCGTGAGGTTTGATCGCTGTGAGATTTGTTGATTTGCGGTGGTAAGGTTGGCTGAGACAGAGGTTCGGTGGTTGTGGTGTATACACAGAGAGGGTAAAATTGTGAGACAGATGCTCGAATATGAAATTACTCCCTCTATAAAATTTTGAGCTTCCATGACTAAATGATTTATTAGTTGGGAAATGTATAATTTCATGCCATTTGGGGACTACATATTATTTTGGTCGCTAAAAAGGGTGCGAAAAATCTGACTAAATATTATTTTAGCCTAAATTATATACTATTGCTGACTAAAATTGTTTTAGTCGCTAAAAGTAGTAGTTCGGCGACTAAATATTTTGGTCGCCAATTTATTTTATAAATCCCTCCAAAATTTGAAATTTTCCCTCCAAATATTTTAATTCTTTGGCGACTAAAATATTGTTTAGTCGTTAAAAATAAATTTTTGGTGACCAAAAAAGTCTGAAAGTAATTTTTTATTTTTCATTCGGCGACTAAAAAAATTTAGTAGCCAAGACTATCTATATAGCGACTAAAACATTTATTAGTTGCCAATTGTGGGCATTTTTAGTGACAAACGTTTTTTAGTTGGCCAATAATCAATATTTCCCGACTAAAAAAAAAATAGTAGCTAAATATTGTACTTTTGCCGACTAAAAAAATTTTTGGTCGCCAATTCCACAAGTTTTAGCGACTAAATTTTTTTTAGTTGCCAAATTTGGTCGCCAAAAGTGCATTTTGTTGTTGTGGAAGTTGGTTAGTATGTGGATCACAATCACTCAATTGTTGTTGAAAAATATGAACGCATTGTCTGAACACCTAAAAAGCACTAAGATAGAATGGCTTTGGCTAGGGTGGACAATCAAAGACTCTTTGATGAGAAGTTATTTAGTGATCCTGGATACGGTTACGTGGTGTTCCAAGTGAGTTAGGATTAGTGGAGAGATGCGATTTATAATTCTGTGTTTGGTAATTATAAAATAGAATAAGACCTGATGAATTGTAATTGATCAGAGTAAAACCATGTGATACCCTTAGACCACAATATAATTTTTCCTCTCTGATGCGTTATGTCAGTAAGAGCTCTAGGAACCTCAATAAAATAGTGTATGGGTATATAGTTGATTATGTACCTAGATTGTTGCATGAGCGTGTATTTATTGAGCTTTAAACCATTACATGTAGTTGAGAGATCCTTCGCATTTTTATTAGAAAATAATGGTTTTTCAATAATTTTAATTTGTAATTAAAATGGGACTCAATCGTCGGTTAAGGTAGATTCGAGTGGGATTGTATTCTCCTAAGTGAAAAGATTACAATATAAAAATAATGAGCCGAAACCATTAAGTTGTAAATGAAAATTGTCTCATAAAGGGGCATCAATAAAAGTTGGATTTAGATTTGGACTTAATCTTAGTTTGAACCGGGCCTAGGCTTGTGCTTATGCATGTGTTGGGTTTGGTCTTGGACTTGGACTTGGACTTAATTTTTAGCTTGGGCTGAGTTGTGTTGTATTGGGCTTAACTTGTGCATGCGTTTGAAATTGGGTTTGGATCGGATTATGACCTAACATCAGTATCTATTTTCGATCAGTTTTAATTATTCAAATATCATTATATATATTTGTATATATATTAAGCACATAACTCTCATCTTTTGGTGATGAAATTGGTGATTATATTAGTGGTCATAGGTTTTGAATCTTTGTAACTCTAGCCCTAATTGCTAGAGTTGATGGCCTTGATTAATGGCATTTGATGGCCCTCATGATGATAGCCTTTATGGTTAGAGACTCTCCTACTTGTATAAATAGACAATTTCCCCTTCAACTTGATAAGAATAATTTTTGAAGAGATTTGTAATGGAAAATGAGATAGTGTTTTGAGATAATAAAGTTGGATATGATTTTTATACCAAAGAAAATATTATATATCTTCTTTGCTAGCCCCTTTTTTGGTTCTTATTAAAGAGAGAGTGTTGCCATTGTCATGTTTGCCGAAGCTATTCCAAAGGTGCTTTTGCATTATTTGGTTTCGACCGTCGTATCTTGGGAGACAAACTCCGGCGTACCTTCAGTATCCATCGGGAGGCAGTGAATTTGTCTTAAGGAAACTGTGGTACCACACATGTTTTGGTTTGCTTCCTTTTTTATCATTTGTTCTTTAATTTTTCAGAATTTAGTTTACCTCGACGAATTCTAATATTTAGTTATCCATGTTAATAATTTGTTCTATTAGTAATGTAATCTAATTCATTTTTGTATTTTTAATTGTGTAGTTTATTCTGTATTTAAAAAAATATTTTGTCATTTCTATTTAATTTATTTTATGTATTTTTATTGTATTATTATGAAAAAATACCAACAATCTTAAAACAAATTTTTATAAGTAGTTTTTGATAAAATAATTTAGTTTTTATTTTAAGTTATTCTAGTAACTCTTGGAATTAAAATTAATTTAATTGCCTAGACTTATTGGATTGTTTTGAGTTGTTTATTTCTAATAATTCATTCATGCAATTTATTTTATGTTAATTATTTGTTATCGCATTAGTTATTTGATTGTTAATGCTTAAGTTGTTAGGAGTTTATAAAATAAAACAAGAATTTTATTACTTAAGCTTCTTACTAATTTATTTGATTTGTTTGTTATTTGTTTTCTTTTGTATCTAACTTTTTCTACATGTTTACCTAAACGTGAAAGGAAGATATATAATACGAACAAATAAAATAAATTAGAATTAGTAAATGAAACTACTAATTTTTATGCCAAAAGGTAATGCATTATTATGGAGGAATGTTACAGATTTCAAAAATTCTACCAAAAATTCTATCAAATATCTTACATGGGTGTGGGACCCACACAATATGGGTCCTATGTGGGTCCCACATCCATGTGAGACATTTGGTAAAATTTTTGGTATAATTTTTAGAATCTCTAACATTTTTTATTATTATATAGGGAGAGATAGGGGAAGAACTTATCCTTTTGTTAACAAGTGTTCTAAGGACACTTGTTAATAATGCATTAAATGATGCCTATTAACTCCACTATTATAGAAAATATAAGGCAATTAATATAGGGATTAATATAACAAATATTTTTCCTAGTAAGACCAAAATACCATTTTATTCATTTGTCTCTATTTTATCTTTTTTTTTTAATCATTTCATAATTAACATATCAAATAATATTCAACTAATGATAAAATACAGCAATATTTTTTTATTTTAAACATATTTAATGAAATTTCTCTGTAAAAAAGTGGTAGAAAATTAGGAACATAATAAAAAGTTGAAGGAGGAAAAAAAATTAGGCATTTTTTTCATCATAAATAAATTTATTACAGGGTATATTTCAAAATAAAAAAAAATAAAAAAAATTAACATTTCTTTTCATCATAAATTTATTATGGGGCAAATTTGATAAACATTATGTGGAAAATTTCATCATATTATGTAGCTAAAATATCTTATCCTTTTTCGCTCTCTTTCTTTTTTCCTTCGAGTTTTTATAATGTGTCTCATTTTCTGCCACATTATTATTATGGGACAGATTTTATTAACTATGGTTAAAAAATTATTGGTGTATTCCATCATTAGCTAAATATTATCTAATATATTAATATGTCAAAAAATACAATTGAGATATGAAATAATAATAAATAAATAAATAAAATAGAAAATAGAGAAAAAAAATTGCATTAAAGGATATTTTGGTCTCTTTATAAAAAAGTTAATTATTAAAATGTTGTACATTTACTACCTTTTATACTTCCTATGATAGTGGAATTAAGGCATCATTTAATGCATTAACAAAACCCTATTATTATTAACGGTATGGCTTCTGTCCAGTCTAGGATCGGACTGGACCATGCTGTTGGGCCCGTGATCGAATTGGACAGAAGCCATACCCTATTATTAACACGTTTTTGAAGTTCTAAGCGTATGCTAGATGTCCTAAATAAATATAAGATTTTGGATAGAATAGTTATTAAATGAGAGATTTTCCAATTACCTACTGAGAAGGTAATTTATGTGTAAATTGGGTCGAGCTAGGTAATGGGCCATTCTGTGGACCACAGTAAGAAGGGTTGAGGAAAAGGGCCTAGAAGTTAGCCCGGTCCAAGAAAGCTCTGCAGTTAGCCTGGTCCAAGAAAGCTCTGCAGTTAGCTCGGTCACCACACTCAGAACAGTAACAGTTAGCTTGGTCATATCATATTGAGCCGAAGTATGTTAAGCTTTTCTCAGAACCTTGCTATTGGTTAGCTCGGTCCAAGCTCATTGTGGTTAGTGCGGTCTCGGACAACCCAGTTGGAATATGTTAAACCGAGGTACACGCAGTGAAAGGAAGAACCGAGCTAGTGGGAGCTTGGTCTAGTCTGCGGTTTTAGCATGGCCATGTTATCTCGGTCGTATTGACATCCAACCATGGTAAAACCATCTCACTTGGTTTAAGCAGTGAGGGGGGTGTTGAGGGATAAGCATTATCTTTCAGGAATGTGATTCCTAGGAGGACTCTACATGGAGGAGTAAGAGTCTTACTAGGATTGTGCCACACGGAACCTATAAAAGTTCATAACATCACCTATGCAGAGGTAACACAACTTTGATTTCTGAATACACAGAGCTTTTTGTCTATTTGTCTATTTTGCTGACTTAGGCATCGGAGAGGTATCCGGCACACACCCGCCGGCTAACTCACGTTTGTGTTTTCAGGGAGTAAAGCGACGTCGTACGGAGGAGCGCAGACTTGATCAACAGGATTATACGAGAATGTTTATTTCTTTCCTGTACACCTACCTTTAAATTTTATAATGCTTTGACCATTGACGGGGTCTAGTCTGCGGTTTTAGCATGGCCATGTTATCTCGGTCGTATTGACATCCAACCATGGTAAAACCATCTTACTTGGTTTAAGCAGTGAGGGGGGTGTTGAGGGATAAGCATTATCTTTCAGGAATGTGATTCCTAGGAGGAATCTACATGGAGGAGTAAGAGTCTTACTAGGATTGTGCCACACGGAACCTATAAAAGTTCATAACATCACCTATGGAGAGGTAACACAACTTTGATTTCTGAATACACAGAGCTTTTTGTCTATTTGTCTATTTTGCTGACTTAGGCATCGGAGAGGTATCCGGCACACACCCGCCGGCTAACTCA